TGAGGGTCCCACCAGAAGGGTCCGTGCTCGCCTTGACGTACGACATGGACTTGTAAGCGTGCTTCACATGCTGCCCGGTCTGTTTCAACATGTCAACGCTCCAACAAACTGAACGCCTCGCTTTTGTTCAGCTTCAACTCCCTTTCTTTCGCAACAACACATATTCTTTCCGCACATGGGGTTGATTGAAATATCGCTCTCCTTCAGACTGCCCGGAGTCTGCCGTCAAGTCGTTTCCGTCGCTACCGCGCAGCACTGGCTTTCATCTCATCCCACCCCACGCGTAATCTATCATCGACAGCCTGCGAATAAAGGGGGAAGAAAATGGCTACAAAGGACTATCCACGCCCACCACAGCGTGATTCCTGGTTCGCACCTCTCTCGATCGACCTCTTCGTCAAGGTCCTCAACGTCACATTCCTGCATCCCTTTGTGTGCTGGATGATCCCGCTGTGCTTCCGCGCCCAAACAGTCCGGTGGGATGCGCCTCGCATGCTTGGAGCCTTTGCCTGGGCGACACTCATTACACTGAGCTGGATGGCGAGCGTCATCAATCAGCGCATTGCGCATGGCCTGCCGCGGGATGTCGACCTGAGCGAGGAAGTCATTGTTATCACGGGCGGTGCGAGCGGCTTGGGCATGTTGGTCGCCGAGGTGTACGGGATGAGGGGTGCGAGCGTGGCTGTTCTGGACGTCAATGACATGGAGAATGGGGAGGCCAGAGGCGTGACGCACTACGAGTGTGATGTGGGCGATAAGAAGCAGGTTGCAAAGGTGGCGGCTGAGATTGAGCGAGATGTAAGTTCTGTCTTCTGCTGAGGCGAGAGGGGTCATCGAGAATACTAACAGCTCGTCATAGCTCGGAACACCGACAGTCCTCATCAACAACGCGGCTGTCGTCATTGGGAAATCTCTCCTGAACCTCTCCCTGGAAGAAATAGACACCAGTCTGGCGACCAACCTGCTCGGCCCATTCTACTGCCTCAAGACGTTCCTCCCGGCCATTCTGCGCGGCGGCGGCGGCGGCACCATTGTCAATATCTCGTCTGTCATCGGCCACCTCGGCGCCGCGCAATTGACAGACTATGCGGCGGCCAAGGCTGGCCTGACGGCGATGCACCGCTCTTTGACGGCCGAGCTACGCCAGACGCATCCCGAAATTCGCACCGTGCTCATCACCGCCGGACAATTGAGCACACCTCTTTTCTACGGGGTCCAGACGCCGAGCAGCTTCTTTGCACCGGTCGTGGAACCCGTCGACGTGGCCAAGGAGATTATCGCGGCGATCGACAATGGGAGAGGCGCAACGGTGGGGATGCCGCTGTATGCGAGATGGGTGGACTTGTACAACGTCTTGCCGGTGGGGCTGCAGATCGTAGCAAGGGCCGTGGCGGGCGTGGATAGGGGGATGAGGACGTATATCGGGAGACAGGGGCTGGGGCAAAGCGAGAAGAGCAGGTCGAGTTGAGATATGGCGCTGGACGTCCATCTTGTACGGGTGCTGAGATACTGGGACGCTGAAGAAGAGGAAGGCGGATGGGGGGGACTAGGAGACGGCGTGCGATACACCCGATGATGACGACGTCATTGCTGTGCTGAGATGTTGCACAGCCATTGAATAGAGCCAGATGCAACGTTTGTGTCTATTCAGCAGAGATTATTCATCTCGGCGGGACACATTCCGAATCACGAGCTTTTCGACCGCTCTCATATTAATCCGTCCTGGTTTGCGGAACCCCTGGGCCCATGTTAGTAGATATCTAATCCACACCTCACCATGTCCGATTGAACAAGTTACCAAGACATCACGCGAGTTATTCATGTCTTTACTTGCACTGCATGCCACATTGATCCGAGTAACCCGGGAATCTTTGGCCAGGAGACTTTAGAAAGGTCAGGTACTCCGTTCATCAAGGTCTAGCCTAAGCACCGGGAATGCAAGAGATTAGACTCCGAGGTTCATCTTCTAACGCAGCTTCATTAAGACAATTCTTCTCCGTACATCAGGCATTTAGCTAGCCTTAGTGTCGATTACCCCAGAGCATCTACATGGATGGGCCCAAGGGGCGGGCAGGCACCACGGTTAGGTTACCGTGTACATGCTTCCCGAGAGGTCAGTACGAAAGCGAATTTCGGGTCTCCAATTCGGAAAGCCGACAGTAACAACGGAGGAGGTCAACAAATCAAGCTAGCTGGCATTACAATCCAAGTGTCACGGCTTGCACCGAAAGGTTGAGAACGAAGTGATGGCTGAGACTATCGCAGTCGCTGCTAGATAGATGCTAGCTAGGGGCGGGTGCGTGAAGGTTTCAATCTCTGACCTGGCACCAACAATGTGCGCCGTCTTCGATAAATACCCCGCTCCACGAGCACGTGGCTATCTCGTAGCTAGCTAGCCTCTTTGTCATCCGCACGGCCCGAAGGTTCTCCGAAGACCCGCTTCGATGAACATCCTATCTTTGACCTCTGCGCTCCTGACACCAAGACCCTTTTCTCAGGGAAGGCGATGCCATGCATGCCGAAGCAGGCTTTTCTCGCAAATAACGGATTGCAGAGACTCCACGATGATATGATTAACGTTAGTGAGTCACAATCTCAGGACCTCCAATGGACGGATCTATTTGCCTGCCAAAGAAGATCGGAAACAGTTTGTTGCTGTTCTGCAAAGAGGACGAAGATCGTTCAGTTAGTAGATGGCGTTCTATGAAGTTCGTGGTCAAGTACTTCAATTTCACCACTTCGTTCCAAGTAGACAGGGCACAGTTCATATTAGTACAACTTTAGGCTGCCAACGGTTGGCGGTATTTCTGTACTGAAAGTGAATGCTTATCCACGTTTGTTGATACTCGTGGCTGACGCCATGTTGTTTCGCAGACAGGCCAAAATCAGCAGGGACAGCCAGCCGCCTCGATTTCTGACGGAGAAGTTCTAGTAGTCAACCAGTTGCTCCGTGTTAATAGCACATAGTGGACAATAACATTTGATTTTATATTTTTTTTGGGCGCATTGGTTATGGCTAATGCATCTAAATTATGAGAAACATGACAATTGCAAGCAGTACCTAGCCAGTACAATAATTAACATACAAGTCATGGCGACCGCAGTAATAGATAAAACCTAGACAATAACATTATCTGTACTGCGGATAATTAGCTATCTTTTGAATTACTAGACCACATTAGCTTATCTGTGAATCGCCGTTTTCTAACCCTATTAACAGTGTTAGCTATCAAACGAATGGCACATACCAAGCCAATAAGCACGGGCACCTCAGTCAGATGACTAACCGTGGAAGATGATGCCTGTGTCAGGTGCGCGCGTACGCGGGCGGGCCTAATAATCAATTGTAAGGTGCAATGCGAGCGAGAGCTAGCATTGGTGAATCTTTTAGTTCAATGGCTTACCCGCACACCTTCGGGTTCTGACAGCCTGGCCAATGCCTGGCCCAAAATTGGCCACGGAAACGGCCACGACGAGCTTAACGTTATTGCTGGCGGCTGTAAAGCTTTGCGTCACCATGAGGGGGAACCTCAAACCGAGCAATCGGCTGGCTCACAAGGTAGCAAAGAAGGCCTGCACAAAAGACACCTCCAGTGGCGCTGCAACTCGCAGGACAGACACAATTTGTTGCACGACCTGCCTGACGGCCTTGAGATGCGAACCAGACCAGAATGGTATATGGCAAACCGATGAGAGACCATGACGAGGCGAATCGAAGAGGAATCACGCGCCTACATAGAGGATAATAGCACACACATAGAAGACAACAGCGCCGGGACGGGCAACGACAGCGCGCCCGCGCGCATTGATAGCGCCTGCACGAGCAACAACAGCGCACCCGCAGCGCCCGCACCAACAGCGAACGCGAGCGGGTATAGGTTAGGCGCCTAACCTACACCGCGCAGAAAAAACACGAGGTATAGGTTAGGCGCCTAACCTACACCGCAGCACGATAACTGTACTGTAAGGGTTTCGCTCCCTAGCCTAGCTAGTTAGCCCACTACT